TGGTATGTGAACATCCCGGCAAGGCAACTGGCTCACTGCCACGGAGGACCATGGGCAATACTGAGACTGACATTTGAGTTTTCTCCGCGCAAAGGATTCTTCCTCCTGTTCATGGCTCTTTTCTGCCTCGTCTGCCTCATCTGCGCTCTGAAGCTCAACGTCTGCCTGGTCATCATCCACAGTACTCTGGTAATCTGCTTCTGCCTGCTCACGGGATCATTCTGGCAAGCTGCGGAAGGGAGAGCTGGACTCGCCTCGAGGCTTCTTATCGTAAGTTCTGTCCCGAGTCTACTCAATTGAGGGGCAACATGGACTGATGATGATTGAATGTGTGATTGTGCACAGGCGGGCGGAGCATTTGCCTTTGTGTCGACGGCGGTGGCCGGCTATCTCTTCCTGTCGCAGATGCTGTTGACTGTCGAGTTCCCCTTCTCTCTTCCTGTGGGTGATTTGAGCTCGGTCTTTGCGAGCTCTCGCAGTCCATTCAAGGGCAAGGAGCACGGGGAGGATCCATGAAGAAGACGAGGGGTGAGAACAAAGTCCACTATGGTCTGAGAAGAGTTGGTCAAGCGACATACCTAGTTAGTAGAATTGCTAGATGTCAGGTATAGTGAATGCACCGCAGCTTGGCGGCAGCTGAGAGAATCATACAAGTGTACACTTTTGCCCTCTCTCCGATAGCATCGCCACTGTCACCGTCACTGTCACCAATCAGCCGACGGATTTCATGCATTGAATTTCAATCTAATGTCTGCAATAGTATGCACCAAGGCTGCCAGGGTCTATGCAATGTTGCCAAGGGCCACCTAGGCAGAATTTGTCTCGGCTTCTAGGGCGGAGGCCCCGGCGCAATCGAGCGGGGAACACGCAAGAGTATGCTGCTAGTCAGTGACAAAAGGTCCCTAGATGCCATTCAGGGCTGACGGGAATACTAGCTTCGTAGAGCTTGAACCCGAGTGCGCTATGTTACGTTGCGTCGGGGACGTATTGTGGTGCTTGTGACTACGTTAACGACCCGTTCCGCCCAAGCGTTGTCGACAGTACACTCTTGTCTTCTGCGTAGGCAGATAGTGCCTGGCGCCACCTTCTGAGATAGAAATCTTAAGGCACGAATATAATACTAGGATCAGTGTGTCAGCCACCTTCGTTTCAGCAAAAAGATAGAATATCGCGCCAGTGGTGGCCAAATGGTACGTACTATAGGAGATAAGCATAGCCTATCAGGATAGGACCTCGATATATAACTCCGATGAGGAACGTTAAGCTAGCATCGGTCGCTAATTGGTTCGCATCATGTTGAAATGTTACCGCTCCATCTGTAGTTAGGACATCGTTGTAGCTTTGAGGGAATGGACTTCGCCCATAACGTCTAAGGGGTGGTGCGTCGAGGTATCAAGCCGGTATGCTAATTCACGGCATGGGTCTTTGCCTCGATTCTCGTCTGACCACAATGCCATACTGATATTTGTAGAACACGGTTTGCAGTGCGTACAGACAGACTGCTCTTTAGGATTTCTGGCAGAATGGGTCTCTGGCGCTTCGTGTGCCGGAATAGTTTGTAGACCCGAAGCTCACGGCATCCCAGCTGGCTTCGACCTATTACTGTGTCGAGTCAGACGCATTTTACAAGGGATTGTGGGTCGTCCTTTTGTGTGTCTCATCAATGCGACCTTTGGAAGTCCAAGAGAAGCTCCAATAAAGGGTTCACTGAATAGCTGTTCTGCAAAGACGGTCCCCAAATATTTTTCAGTGCTTTGATCGTCAATTTTACAGCCTCAACTTGATTTTCTTATCGGAAATGGAATGCATCACTTGCTGAAGAGTAATTTTGTTACTCTCGTCCCCGCTAGAGCTTGTCCAGTTGTCGAGGAGATCTTCTGACATCGATCCCACGTGTAATAGAGGATTTCGGTGCCCATTGATGTGTGATCGCGCAGTCTTAGCGCGTCAACCGCACCTGTATCGGCATCCTAGCATTCAAGCGAAGCAGCGAGGTTATTAAGTCAGATTCCTAGCATCCTCATAGCTAAACTGATCTTGAGCCTGGCGTGTCGCCGCGCCATGATGCGAGTAGATTGATTTCAGCACGTGGTCATTATCTGCCTGTAAATTCCATCCGGGAGATCTAGACCGAGATTCATATTGGCAAATGTCTCTGTCCAATCTCGTGGGGCCTTTACTGATGAGGTCCGTTACTCTTCGCAATTCTTGATGGTAGGAGACTCCACCACGTGTTCCTATTTTATACAGCGACCATTCTTTACCTATCCTTCCTACTAGGCCAAATACACTCTGCCCGCGGCCCACACTAATTCAAGATTCGCCCAGAAGGGGAAATACACCATGAGTCCTTGATTGTCATTGAATTGATATCTATCTTTCATTCTCGAGCCCCCACCTAGACGAGCGATGGGGATGTGTACCTTTCTCTTTCCTGCGAGACAATCCCGGTCATCTACATATCTCGACAACTTCCCTCGAAATCAGATCACATAACGGAAGAGCTTATTCTCCTTGTCCGTCAAATCCAAGAACTCGACATTCGTGCCATGGCCGTCCGAGATCTCACCGCGCTCAAGCATCCTCTGCCTCCGCTTGTTCTCCCAAGTGTTGAGGACGAAGAAGCCGCACAGGATGAGTACGCTGACGATCCAGAGAACGAGCAGACTGATCTTGGCATGCTGGTAGAAGGGCGGGTCGCGGAATGTCTGGGGCCCGACCAGGTATGCGACGCCGAGAATGAGGAAGACGATGGAGTTGAGCGTCGTCTTCTTGGTGGTGCCGAGTACATTACTCGACAGCATGGAGATGACAATAAACCAGCTCGTGGAGCAGCTGCCACTCATGAAAAAGTAGGCGACCAGCTGGCCATTCTTACGGTAAAAGTGGCCGTGGTCGCCCAGGCCGATGAACAGGCTGGCGCCGAACAAGGAGAAGAGGCCGGCCAGAATGGCGGCGCCGCTGCGCTGGTGTGTCACGTCTGCGAGCAGCCCAAATCCCATGTTGCAGATGACACTTATGGCGCCCTGCGGAATATTCAGAAGAAGCGTCTCCTTCACGGTGAAGCCGAGGGACTTGATAATAATGGACTGGAGGAGCACAAGGCCGGCGGCGGGGATCTGGGACGAGAGGACAAAGACGACGTACATCCAGGTCTGAAATCGGTATGAGCATAGCATGCAGACGGGGAGATCAAGGGGGAAAAGAACTCACCCTGTAGTCGGTGAATGCCTCAACGGCTTGGTAGCGCTTGTATTGCTTCGAACCAACGCCCTGATGGTTCTCTCGCAGGCGCTCCACGGCCAGAGTTCGCTCCTCCTCAGTGAAGAACTTGGCCGTTACAACGCTGGTCGCCATGAACATAAACATACAAATTCCGTAGACAACAGAGACGATGCCTGTGACGACGGCCAAGATCTTCCAGCTTGAGAAGTTTGCGTTGGGATGCCTCGTCTCTCCGTCTACACACCCGAAGGCAATCAAGCCGCCAATCATGGTAGCAATACCGGTACAGCCAGACCAGATACCGGTCCTGCTGCCGTGCTCGTACTTTCGATACCACGCGGCCGTAATGAGTGAGAAGCCGCAGTTGATCGAGGCCTCAAGCGCGCCCAGAAACGTCCGTTGGATCATGAGGCCAGCGAAGTTATGGCAGGCGGCCATGCACGTCAGAACAACACCCCATGCTATGACACAACACGCAATGTACTTTGACGGCGGGAAGACCTGGAACATGCGGTTGTGGATGGGAGCGAAGACGATGTAACCAGCGTAGTAGATTGAACCGAGCCACGTGTATTGGTTGGCGCTCAGGTTTGTCTCCTTCTGGAGACCCATGACGCCAGCATAAGACAGACTTGAGCATTTTATATCAGCCATTGCAGAAGATTTGGGCTGTGAGGCAGTCTCTTACACTCCCTTGTCCAGATACTGCAGGACATAGAGTCCACACAGCCATGGCAGGACATGCCAGTCAATCTTACGGACCAAATGCTTGTTCGTCTTGTCGTCAATCTCCACGGCGATGGCACTGGCGTAGGTGTAGGCGCCATCCGCTCCCTTGACCTCTTTGACGTGCCCGACATCGAGGCCTAGCTCTTCGGCGGCCTCCTGGATGCGGAGGGTTGGGTCCTCATCCCCAATCTTGTCATCGACAGCAGTTGTCGTTGCTGGAGTTTCTTTTCCCATGACGAAATCACGAACAGCAGGCGGGTAAATGACAACCTAGAGGCAAAACAGGGCAGACGCGTGAGAAGGCTTCCAGGGCGAATTGTCTATTGGCGTACGACCGGGCTGCGGCACGGATGGGACGGGAGATGAATATCTTTATACCCGTTATCGGTAACAGAATCGTCCCGAGGACAAAATCCGACAGTAGATCCCAGTTCGCCCGTCTTGAACGGTCTTCTCGGTCCATCTTGACTGCCAGATTTGTACCATGATTCAGGAGTCGCTCAAGTCCTACCATACAGCGTGCTACTGATAAGGAGACCAAGACGTTGATGTCCCTTGTAGATCTTTTCTCAAGGGGGATTGGTCGACCAGGAGTTTGGCCGTTCTCCAAGATCGCCTGCGAGCCAGGGGGCATTGAGTATACGGAGAATAGCATAGGCTATCCGCCCGTGTTGACAACGATCCAATATTGGGGAATCTCTCTGTATCGGCAAATCCGATTCGTGCTGTCGGAAGTGGTCGTTCGGGAAGTCCCGGCCCATATTGGCTGGACGGTTTCAGCCAGCGGCAGCTGGGATGGAGTCTGGGCTGCTAAACGCCTGGCGAGAGGTCGGTATGATGGGCTGCTGGGCAGAGGAGGGTCGAAAGGATGAGACGAGGCGACAAAGAGGAGGCTGGCGCACTGTCTTGATAGGTGACGCAGCTGCGCCAAGGCGGCGCGGGGGAATCCTTGATCTTATAGGTGGGCAACACTAGGAACGCCTCAAGCGCCATTCCACCACGGGAGATCGCCCACCTCTCACCACTCTTATCCTCACGCTTGCCCTCTACCTACAGACGTTGATGCCCGCTCTAGCAATCCCACAGCGCGCTCAGGTCCGACCAGCGGCAGAATGCATCACGGCGTCGGCAAAACCGCTGCCTGCTGAGATATAAACGCCATGGCTATCCTGCCAGGGGCTATCGCGCCTTGGAAGATCTTAATCTGAACTCCGGATACCGGTCTAAACACATCATTCACTCGCACACCCATCCTACACTCTCGTCACAATGGGCTCTCTCGGTTATGAAGAAGTTGAGGTAAGCCGCCGCCACTGCAGGTCCCGAACGTCTCTGACGAGCGCCCGCAGTACGTCCACTATCATGCCGGCGGTAAGCGAGGCTCTCGTCCTGTTCTTCGAGGAGCGGCGGCGAAGAAGACGTTCGAGTCCATCCCTGTGATCGACATCTCGGGCATATTCTCAGACTCTCTCGAAGACCGCAAGAAGGTCGCGAATGAGGTGGGCCAGGCGTGTCGGGAGGTTGGCTTCTTTTACGCCGAGAATCACAACATTCCGGATGAGGTCATTGATCAGACATTCGCCGCCGTCAAGAGGTTCTTTGAACTGTCGCACGAGGAGAAGACGGAGGTGCACATCCACAAATCCAAGGCCCTCCGCGGCTACGAGCCACTGTTCGAGACCAAGATGGAGGGCGCCGGCAAGGGAGGTTCGTCCAAATTTGTCTCGCCCAACATCTGCACCATCAGGCTAACCACGAGGTCACGACTGTAGACATGAAGGAGGCCTTCACCATGGGCGATGATGCCACCGAACCCGAGTCGCAAGCACCCAACCGCGGCATCTCGACAGGAATCGAGCGCAGCAACTGCTGGCCCTCAGCATACCCCGAGTTCCGACCCATTATGTACCAGTATTTTCGCTCGGTCATGGCCCTCTCCAAGAAGCTGATGCAAGTCTTCGCCCTGGCGCTCGACCTGCCCGAGAGCTACTTTGATGCCGCCACATCATATCCCATGGGTGGCGTGCGCATCCTGCACTATCCTCCCCAGCCTGTGCCTGGCGGCACCGACATTGGTCTCGGGGCGCATACCGACTATGACTTCTTCACACTCGTCCTCCAGGAATCGGTCGAGGCACTGCAGGTCCTCAACGCCAACGGTATCTGGATTGACGCGCCGCCGCGCCCGCGCAGCTACGTAGTCAACATTGGCGACTTCCTCAGCCGCATCACCAACGACAAGTTCAAGTCAACGGTGCATCGCGTGGTCAACAAAAGCGGGAAGGAGCGTTACTCGATGCCCTTCTTCTTCAGTCCCAACCGTGAGGCCACTCTCGCCACCGTGCCCACCTGCGTCGAGGAGGGCAGCAAGTACGAGGAGGTCAACGCTGGCGAGTACTTCCGTGAGCGCCTCATTGCCGCCCGGTACCAGCATCCCGCCGCAAAGGAGGCCCGCGCCATGCAGGTCGCCGCCATGGCGTGAAAGTTCTTCCTCTCTCTGTACCTCGCATTTTCTGAAATGGAATGTAACAAAAAATGGAAATTAGCTAGGTACCATCTGTCTCTCGATAGTAGCGCTATTGTCCAATGTAGCTTTGTCACCTGTCATGCACAACCTGGGCCTCACAACGTCGACACCGGTCATCAAGCCCAAGGACCCTATAATCCATGGCTGGCACAATTACACCTCCCTTCTTTCAAGTGTGTAATCTGCTCCTAGTAGAATGTATTGAAGACGATTAAGGAGCGAGGAGTATTGGTTTTGCCAGAGACGTTCTCCAGGAGAGAATACTGCCAACGAGAGGGACGCTCCCAGTAGAGAATTATGTTTTCGATAACCAGTACGCAGACCTTCGGATACTATAACCCTACTTCCTCTGATACTTGAGGGGGTGCTAGGGCAGTGGGAGATCTATGGTGAAGAGGCCGGAGAGGGTCCATTCGAACCTGAACTGGGCGCCAGATTCCACTAGGGTGTAGAAGTCCAAATTCAGGACGGGGAACAGATCGAGTATAGAATATTGGGCACACATCGCTCTAGGGGAGGGGAGGTGACAAAAACAAACAGAGGATACAGGAGACAGTGCTTGGACCACTGGGCAATGTCGTCGATACACGAGTGAGAGAGCGAGGGGCTGATCTATGGCTCACTGCCGCCGAAGAAGTATCAGGCATGTCACAAAGCTGAAGAAGATAGATAAAACTTCGAGAAGCTCTGAAAAGACATTTTAATAGCGGCAGTGCCTACGAAGCCAGCCCAGCTACATGACCTCCAACTCCAACGCTGTTTATTACCGCTACGTTTCCACCTGTACCGTATTTGACCAATCTGCCTGAACACTGGCAAAGTCTCATTCTCACAAGCCCAAAAGGTTACTTGTCTCTAATCGTCGAGATGTGCAGACGTCAGTCTCCCGTCTTCCCCAAGCTACCTCCAGCTCTCCCAATATCCTTTCGATTTCTCCATAGCCTAGACGCTGCCGCGTCGAGCACAGAACCTGCTTGATGAGGTCGATATCCTCATGACTATGTACTGCATAGCCCAGAACCATCGTGGGCCAGGAGCCCAGGTAGCAGCGAGTCCAACTGTCTTTCCTCGTTGGCTTTCGAAGGATGGAGAGGGCGTGAGATAGTTGCCACTTCGAAGGTGGTGGAGGTGGAGGAGTGCCGATACAGGTAGACGGCGATCTAGGCATCTCCAGAATCCAGTCCAGGAGAAGTGATCCCGCCAGGACATACAGCGCCACAGCGTCCCAATGAGGATGCTCTTGGCCCGCCGCTGCTGTGGAAATCTGATTTGAATGTTCGATGTCGAGTACCAGCTGTTCCCAGCTCCCCATTTCTGCTTTCAATTCGGTACCTGACAGAACCCTCGTCTGAGGGGGGGAGTTACCCAGCTGGATCACACTCAGAAGCAACTGGTACAGGGGGACAGGGATCCCCAGCACGGGGCTATTGGCCGCCGCTGATGTTTCCCAGTACGTCAAAGTCTCTAGAAGTTTCTCTGTGCGTTCCATGAAGTAGGAATCGATTTGGAAATTGGGAGAAAACGGATTCCGCATCGCCAGGAGGAATGATTGGTACAGGACGCTTTCTACCACGATCCGGTCAAATACCGACGACATGGTCAGTGAGTCTGATGCATTCCTGTAGCGCAAGGAGAGCAACTGCATGGCGCCCATGACATGTTTCGGAGCGTCGTTGACTGTATCTGGTCCCCAAAGCTGATGGCGAGCAATTTGGAGTCAGCGAATTTAGACCTATTGGTGGAGGCGAAGGGGACAGCAGGACTCACGGCATTGATATATAGGTATTGCACCGTTGTCAAGAGGGAGTTTCCAGGGCAATCCCGATCAAAATCGAGCCCCGCTAGCGCCTGGTTGACTTCCTTGACCGCTTGAGAGTAATACTTGATCGAGGTCTTGTGGAACTGAGCATCGCTGCTCAGCATGAATCTATTCGAGGCACAGCAAGCCAATATGGCGCACTTGACGCTATCGGAATTCAGCATGAACAGCGCCATTTCCGACCGGTAGACCGAATAGAAGCCGGGGTGGGCGTTGGGAAGCATCAACACTTTGAGGAAACTGTCGAGGTAGTAGTTGAACAGCCCCAGTTCCTGGTCAGATCGAATCGTCGTTTGAATAGTCGGATTCGATTTCACTTGCAGCGTCCGGTCATCGTCCTGATCCAGTGATGCTCCCAGCAGATCACGATGACAACGGTGTCGCCGATCGTAGAGATCCTCGGGCGCTGGCCAGAGACACTTGCGCCCGGCGATGTGGCAGTTGCGACAACAAGGCCTTTGACCGAGCCTCTCCTCCCCGCACTTGAGCCTGCGGCCCTTGCACGTAAAGCAACCCGTCTTCGTTCGAAGCCTTGCTGCTGGCATTGTTTGGCCTGTCAAATTGCTGTCCGACAATATGGAGAGGGCGCCAGAATTGGAATCACGCACGTCAGGATGGTATTTTTGTTGGAAATGGCAGAAAGGCGGAAGATGGCAATCAACGGCAGCGAGGTCGAGACATTCTAAGTACCCAATTTACCCCATGGAAAGAGCATTTAAACCGCTTGATAAGGTTCGGTTGCTTATCAATTGGCGGGTGAGGGGGTCTGGGCCTGTAGTCTAACTACACGGGTAGATAGCTGTCAGACTCTTCTCCTTCCTACATCTACCAATAGTATACCGCCCTGTCGTTGCTCCGCTCCACAGCGGATCGCTCCAAGAAGAGGCCATGGCCCTACGGGCTGGGTCCCGACTGGTCATATCTCAAGCAATGGGGTGCTTGAGGCAGTCGTTGCCTTCACGATCGACATCCTATTGGTGATTGAGACCACATTATCCAGTCTGCGAATACAGTCGTTGGAAGCCCTTGAGCAGCACAGGGTGACATGGAACTGTCTTGGGTTAAGATCCTGAAAATTTGCCTGCATTTCGACCACGATCTCAACGACACAGATGGGCTACCAACTAGCGTACAGCGAGAACCTCACAGTCTCATTCTTGAACAATCTTCGAGATCAGTTCCGACGCAGCAATGGTGGCCTCGTCACGAAAGTGTTTGCCCACCACTTGGAGTGCAATAGGAGCGTCGACATATTTTTCCGGAGAGTCTGGTGTCCGTGATAACCATGTCAGTAAAATACCTTTACAAGATACCTGATCTGGGTCAAGTGCAGGGAGAAACCTAACGGCAGAACAGGACAACTTACACTTCTTGTATTCCTCCTCGTCTTGTTTCGAGCGGGGCGTATACCCAGTCTCAACAGGGTCGAGCTCCTGATCAACTCGGAGTCCAGTGGGAAAGATAACGGCGGGTTGATCGAGAATGTTCCATATCGCCGTGTAGAGCCAATATTTACCAGTCGCCAGCTGCGCCGCTGCCCCAACATAAGCGGGACAGAGGATGAAATCGACGCCACGTTCTTTCATCAAGCGATGGTAACTGTAAAAGTCAGCGGGATACGTCACGACGACTTGAAAACACCCACTCTGCTCTATACTCCTCTCGTCGAACGTTCAGCACCCAATTCTCTTGAACGCTAATCGGTTCTGGCCTTGCAACGCTAAATGCCCATTGAGTCAAGGGGGCTATCGGCTCTCCTCCCTTGGCAAGCAGGTCCTTCTGGAACTGAGCCGCGTCTGGAAAATACAGGGCTGAAAGAATTTCCCATCCACGCGCGTGCTCATAGGGCTCAAAATCAATCACCTTGACTCCCGCGACCTTCAATTTGGCAACGGCATTCTTCAGAGCACGTTGAACAGGTGGATGGGGGTGTACAACCCTGTCCGCGTTATGAGTCCGATGTCCGCATACAGATTCGCGGGCTGAAACACTTACCCATCGTCCCAGATAACCCCAACGGTGATCTGTTCTGGTTGCAAAGGTTTGACTGATTTCCAAGGTAGCGGGATCAAGGATGTCTCTTCTTCCCATGGCTCCTGGTCAAGAACAGACTTCTGGAACAGCGCGATATCCGCGAGGCTGTTGGCCAAAGGAGAGATCACACAACGAATGCTTTCTTGTCCGTCTCCTGCCAAGTAGACACCCTTGTAGGGATTTCGAAGAGCAGTGGTGCGAAGTCCATAGGTACCACAAAAGGCAGCCGGGACTCGAACTGAGCCGCCAATATCGGTCCCTATTCCAATCGCCGCACAACGAAAGCCTATCGAGGCACCTTCGCCCCCGCTAGAACCGCCGCTCGTGAGAGTTCGGTTATACGGGTTGACAGTTGTGCCGTTGATGGGGTTGCTACAGTCGATATGCTGTATATCATGTCAGTTGCAAGGGTTTGTTCTCATAGATTCATGGGTACTCCAGCCATACCATCAGACTTTGCGGTTGGTTGGTCCTGACGTGGAAAATAGCACCGGCAGCTTTCAGGCACCTGACAAGCAATGCATCCTCTTCGGGAATATTGTCGATCCAAGCAATATAGGTGGAGTGGCAGATACGCCCTTTCAGTCCAACATGTTCTTTCACCGAAATAGGTACACCGTGCAAGGGTCCAACTAGCTTGCCAGTGGTCTTGTAATGGGCGTCCAACTCGGCCGCACGAGCGAGGGCGTCATCGACCATAAATTCAGTAGCAAAGTTCAACAGCTGCTGGCCAATATGGGCTCTCTTCAAGAATGCTGTCACCGTCTCCACAGCAGTAAGAGTTCCGTTGGCCATTTGGGCGACCAGGTCCACCGCATTGGTCTCGGTGATCTCAAGTTCGCGCGGGGTTAGGAGCTTGCAGCTTCGAGGGAAAGCTGAAACATTAAGCTGGTCGGGGGGCGGTAGTTCCTCTGAAGGCAGCACCCAAGCTGGATTCATAGAGCTGCGGGTTATTTGTCGGCATTTTTCAGCCTTGACCTCCCATTCGGCGGCTACCATGATGGATAATAGTCTCCTCGCAACCAAGGAAAATGTGAGAGTGCACGATACAGCTTACGCCGCAGAATGGAGGAAGGACGTTATATATATGCCGATGCATGTTGCGGAAGCAATTGAGGACATTAAACTCCTAACAGACCTGTCCATGGCTTAGGAATCTGACCTGTAGTCTGTTTGAATTGT